CCCGTGCCCCTTTAAGGGGTCCGGGGCCGGGAGGGGGGCATAGAGTTTCCCTGGTGTTGGCCAGAGTGGCCACCAGGGAAACCTGGGAAGCCTTAGCCTCCCCCTAGTTCGAACTAAAGGGCTACACAGCCCTTAGTTCGAACTAGCTAGTTCGAACTAGGCGTTAGTCCTCGTAAAATGAGGTTTACCTAGTTCGAACTAAGCGCTCCGCTAGTTCGATTCAAATTCGAACTAGCGGAGCGCTAGTGTAGCACCTATTAAAGTTAGTTCGAACTAACGTCCGTTAGTTCGAACTAACTTTGTAGTGTAGACATACCCCAAGTGGCAGAAATAAGTTTGGGTAGCGAGTTCACGTGTTTTCCCTTCCCACCCTCATAGATCAACCTTGTCCTCCCACTCTGAGTTATCTTTGTTTTAAATAGAGGGAAAACAAATGGAAAATCCTCAGGAGAGAGCACGGTGTGTGTTCTCCACTTTCACATGCTACCTGGCAACACAACACAAAAGGGCTCTGGTTTAGTCTGAGACAAATAGGATGAAATTCAATAAGGACAAATGCAAAGTGCTCCACTTAAGGAGGAACAACCATGCATACAGAATGGGATGGCACTGTCTAGGAAGAAGTACTGCAGAAAGGGATGTAGGGGTCATAGTGGATCACAAGCTAATCAGACAATCATCAAGTGATCTGTCCCATTTTCCAGCCTGCAATCGCCAGGATCGCGTATGGAGACTTTAAATATTGGTGTCACCTTAGCTATCCTCCAGGCTTCCAGTACAGACGCTGATGTAAGGGATTGGTTACAAAGCACAGCTGGTGGTTCTACAGTTTCACATCTGGGTTCCTTCAGAACTCTTGGGCGATGCCATCTGGCCCTGGTGACTTATTCCTGGTTAGTTTGTCAGATTGTTCCAAAATCTTCTCTTCTGACACCTCAATCTGGGACAGTTCCTCAGATCTGTCACCTAAAAAGAATGGCTCAGGTTTGGGAACCTCCCTCATGTCCTCAGCTGTGAAGACCAATGCAAAGAATTCATTTAGTCTCATGACAACCTAATCAAGTGTTCCTGATCCTTAACCATTCCTAATTTTCCTATATGGACTTACCAAAAGGGCCTGGCTGAGATCAGAACTTTTGTCCCTTCTCCCCACCTGCTCATGGCAAACCACCATCCTGACCTCCCCTTTTCTGTCACCAGCTGAATTCGTTCCTGGCTACATCCACTTCCAGGTGTTTAATCATGAGAAGGCTGCCATGGCTCTGTGTGCTGGGGTGAAAGTCACTGGCTGTAACACTGAGCATGTGAGTATCTGGCCGGAGAGGGGAGAGGGTTGGAGTAGGGACAAGCCGAGAGCTGGAGTAGAGGAAATAATTTGAAACAAATGTTTTTGGGAGATCAACCCACAATGGATACAACCCCCCAAAAAGTTGTGGCAGGTCAGACACAATGTTTTGTTGGACTGAAAACAACGTGGTGTCTTTCAATCTGTGTAGATTCTTGCATTAGTACCCTTCCTCTCTGCTATCTTCTGATCCTTATCTGCTTCTTTTTTCTATTCAATCTTTAGGTACTTATATCTGCCTATTTGGTTTTCCTTTTGATAGGTTCATACACTCTGCTCCTTATTTCCTGCCCCCTTCCATTTTTTTCCTTCCCCCTTATTTATTTTGGGTCTTCACATCCTAAACTCAAAACTCCGGTCATCTGAAGAAGTGGGCTATGCCCACGAAAGCTCATACCACCATCTACACGTTTTGTTAGACAGTGAAACTTGGCTGGCTATATAAGGCCTCTCTTACCTCTCACACTGGTGCAGGGGAGATTCAGTTTATGGCCAGTGTGCCAGCAGGCACAAGCTGTGCTCGTGGAAGCAGTCTTCCCCAAGAGTAGGCCAGGGGGTTCTAATGTTATTTCTGTCCTTTGGGATTTCATCAGGGGAAAGCCAGCTCCTATGAACCCTGGTGTCAGAAGATGCTGCTGTGGGTGTGTGCACACGTGTGCGCACCCTGAAGTAGTGTATTGTGTTGTGCCCTAGCACCTCTGTCCAGGCTGCAGCAAGCAGTCCTGGTTATGAGCCACATTTCCCCTCGGGGAGGATGGAAGAGTATTGAGGGGAAAATCAGGCCTGCAGAGTGTATGAATGTGAAACCTGAGACCTCATTTCAGTCGCAGGGGAAAAGGGCCTTTCTAATGGGCAAACTAGAAGCAGGAGCTTGGGGTGCTGAGTTGAATCCAGATAATGCATTTCAAAAAGAGGGGAAAAAACCTGGCCTTTCCCGGACTGCCCACTTGATTGGTCTGTGTTTATCCTCTGAGCAGGATTCCAACAAGGACGGGCTAGGTAGGAGAACAGAAAGAGTTGGACCACTGACTGTCTCATGGGGTCCTGGCTGGGGCCTCTAGGCACTACCGTAATAACCCTGACAAGTCAGGTCCAGCACCTAGCACCAGCAATCCTGTACCAGGGCTGAGGGTGCCAAAGCTCAAAGCCATCAAGCACTAAAAATAAAATCCCAAGGGCTCAAAGTCTCCTGGCCCTTGTGCAGGTGTTCAGACCAGAGCTGAAGGAGCGTCAAACGCAGGCAGCTGGGGGCCTTTTTGTACCACTGTAACCAACTGCCCCAGAGCCAGGGCAAGGGAGACTCAGGTCCCAAGAGTTGGGGATTTAAATCCTCATGCTTCAGGACACAAGCTGAGTTCTGACTGTGGAAGGTCAGGAGGTAATTTGCTGGTTCGGCAAATTCATTGCCAGCTGGCTATTGTAGGGTTTCTTGTGACTTCCTCTGAAGTAGGTGGCACCGGCCTGGAGACAGGGGAGCAGCTGGATGGGTCCCTGTTCTGCTCCTCTGGCAATTCCTCTGTTCTCTCCCCAGCACTGCATAGGTGGAGGAGGGTTCTTCCCAGAAGGGAACCCAGTGCAGTGCGGCGATTTCACTGCCTTAGCCTGGGACGGCTACGGAACCCATCGGGGCTGGAGCACATCCAAGGAGATGCTTGAATCCGCAGTGCTGCTCCTCTACCGCTGAGTCCGGAAAGGCCGACGTGCCGCAGTGAAGGATGCTGCTTCCTTCCAGCCAGCAGCGCTTGCTGGCTTTGAACTCAGATGTCTGCCATGCAAATAAAGAATCTGAAGCAGGCTGGGGTGTCAGTGATTTACTCCCCTTGCGACCTAGAAAAATAGGCTCTGTAGAGTGGCCTAGAGTATAGGTAGGGCAGCTGCCTGGGGGCTACAGGGTGGTGGGGTTTGAGTCCCTATGTCCATACTGGGAACAGCTGGATAGCTAACACAGAAGAGGCTGTGGGGGTCTAAGCAGCAGGCAGAAGTAGATGTGTCTCTCATTCAATTATA